CGTACAACATTCTGCGACTTTTGATTCAGTAACCAAGTTGTGCATGTCAATTTCTTCTTTGTTATAAAGATAATCACTTGCTTTTTTGGGCATGTGATTAGTAAGGGGTATTGAGGCGTACCTCTGTGCAAAAATTGTTTAATTCTATGGAGTGAATTTTTATGTTTGGCCTTTGACAAAAGTGGCAAGTTCCTTTTGTTGTCCTTTTGCTGTCAAACTTTTTAAAACTACATACTTTATGGCACAATAGGGCTTTCATACGACCAGCAAGTAACACTGTATACATAATTTACGTCTGCACTGAACAATACTGCATACAGTACATGTTTGATAGAAAGATATTTGAATCGTACCCCGAGATTAATGTTTTGTGACATTTTGACACCTTCCTGGACAGGGACGTACGTGTCCCTCGCAGTAACTCATAATATTATACACAGTGTGGATAAAACTTTTTTCCAGAATTCTTTAGACCTTTTTTGGGGGGAGGGGCAAATTTAAGAAAACACTTACTGCAGACAACCTATTCGAAATTTTCATCATGTTTAGCAAACAAAAATAACATGTTGTAGCGTCAGTTTTACCCCCAAAAAATATCCCAGAGCTTGGCTCTGCTGAACCTGTACTAAAGAATATATTCCATGAAATCTGTCGACGGAATATGCTTGGATTTGTCAATGGATTTCTTGGAAGTAATAAGGGCCCTGCCAATTATTTTTTTTTTCCGATGGTAACTAGGAATCTTGTGTTGTACCCTTTCTGGGGAAAGTGGTGCTTTTTTAAATATCATGTTGCAATTACAATCATAATTGATGGAAGTGGTGTTGCATTCCTGTTACACTCGCAACCAGATTTTTTGAAAGGAACTGGGAAAACCTAATGTGCTCTAAAATCGTTTAAGAGTTACACCTACCAATACAGGTACATGTATAAATAACAATTCTATTGATAACTACAAATGTGTCAACATGTCACAAAACATGCCTTCAACTTCACAGTCGGGCACAATTCAGTTTCATCTTTAAAATTCAGCTGGCCTAATTGGTTAAATGTGATACTAAAGTTGCACCACTACACATCATGTTTCTTGCACAAATGCCATAACTCGTTCTCATCTCATTTCATCTGAAGTACTAGCTGATTATTAAAAAACTGAGCAGAACCAGCCAACATGCACTAAGTACAGGTAGAGAGATTGAAGAACATGAAAATACAAATTTTTCAAAATACTCTGGAAACTAAAATATCAAGTGATGCAAAATCATAACTAAATTACACAATTATACAACAATGAAATACAGTTCTATCGAATGTGCATAAAATTAACAGGTACATTTTCGGTCAACGCACATTACAATTTCTACATATTTTACAACTGCTTTGAAAATTAGTTCTAAACTTCTAAACGGTCCTATACATTAAGGCGAGAGTTTTTACGTAGGTGCTTGGATCAGCTGGCCTTCCAAACTGAGAACTGGAGATTTTTCTTTTTTTTTAGGTCAAAGAACCGCTGAACAACAATTCAATGATATAAATTTTAAAAAGGATTTTTTGCCCTGCTGTCCAACTGACTGGGGAGTCCCCGATTTCAATTTTGTGAGTTTTGGCCCTCAGCAGCAGGGCTAGTGGTTATGGATACTTCTTTCATGGGGGGGTGAATTCTTTCCTCCAATCTGAAAGACCCCTACTCGTTATTCTTCAGACCGTAAAAAGTACTTTTTGCTATCTTTTTCTCGTCCTGCTCTTAATTTGTCTTTTAAAATATCCAAACAACATCTCACACAAAATGCTCGCTGAATAAGGTAATTTTGTAGTTTACATCACAATAGTTTTACAAGTTTTGCATCTACTTGAAAAGCTACTGAGTTCAAAATTTTTTTGTGGGAGATATGTATGTAAGACTACTGTCTTATATACAAAGCTCCCAATGTTGTACATACATGTAAGTAAACCTTAAATCAGTGGCTAAAATTGAAAATGCCACACAACAAAGCCACTTTGTGTTTCCAGTCACAATGTCCCATCCAACTCTGGTCTTCAACAAGAGGTAAATGATCCCGTAAAAACAGTGTTGGATACAGAAAATTGCTATGTCACTTCCGACTCATTCCACCTCATATACCAGATGTACATGTAACTGATCCAATGGGAACCTGCATTAGGTTGAGCAACATGTATTGTTTTTACCAACTCACAGGCCCGAAATAAAGCGATCAAGTGGGAAGAGTGTTTTATCTATGCCTTGTCATTTCCTCATGAGGTGCGATGGGAATGATTCATTCCGCTTTTTTCATCTGTTCTCCTTTGAAGCGGGTACAATCCAGCAGTATCCAACAAAGTTTCTGTAAACAGTGTTGCCGAGCTCCACAGTAGTTCTGAGTAGTTTATGACGGCTGCAAAAACTCCTACTACCTGTGGGCAAACAAATCGTTGAACCGCAATAAGTTAAGAATCCAAAGTGAAGCTCTTGATCTGGACTACATGAGGGTTCCATTTATACTGGGAGCATAAAATATAAGTTTTCTACAAACAGCATGAAAAACAAACTAAAACATGAAGATCTTTAATTTAAAGTGCAACAAAGCATAATACAAAAGATACAAAATAATGATCGGATGCATATATTGTAGTGCAGCCTGTCTAAGCAGTATTTAATCCCATTTTTGACAAGCTTTCAACCAATCAAAAGGCCTAATTTGACCCCACACGACCCTCATTAACATTAAATTTGTGAAATAGGAATGTACCATTACACACATGGGTGTCAGGCGATTTCGAAGGATGGGATCAAGGAACGTACCAGTATGTATTTGCCTTCAATTCTTATGTAAATGGTGAACGACGTCATCTGTACAGATTGAAATAACTGAGTACAGGAATTTCATTTACAATTGTACGTAGGCCTACTTTATTCAGAAAATACATCTCCCCTTAAACAAGTAAATACAAATAAAAAGAATTGTAGCATCAGCACCAGCTGGCCAGGAGAGGGCACCAGCAAGGAGTCACAACGGGGCCATGCAATGGAACCCCTGCAGTCAGCCCCAGAGACGCGTAGCCCACGGCGCCAGTGCAATAGGTTTGTTTCTTTGTTTTGGGTGGTGTTGCCAAGGACATGACAGTTCGTGCTTGGAAAGAGTAAGATAAGGTTGTGTCTTTGTGAAATAAATGGCCGAAGATGCCCCTGGAAACCGGACAATCCTGGGTTACCTCGATTTTGTCAGGTCTATGTAACATTGGTGGCAACGATGGCATGCCTTTTCCAGAGAATTTTGCTGTTGGTTCAGTCATGAATATTCCCAACTACGTTGAGTCAGCATTGAGTCAGACAATACAAAGGGAGCCGCCAGCACTGCTCCCAGCACAAGTCAGTGGTGCGGAGACACCAGAGCTGCTCCGCACACAAGTCAATGGT